TGCTCTCATAAAGGATAGAAAGAAAAGTGCAGGGGCTTAACTTCTGTGACCTGGTTCCTCTCCTACGGTAAAGGGAAGCACTCGGCATGACCTCAGAGGCACTCTTTCTTCTTCAAATATCCCTAAGGTGTGAAGGTATGGCAGCGGGTGTGGGGTCGGGAATGATTTCAAGTATTTTCTAGGGCTAAGATCCTGTTCAGATTAAGCGCTGGCTGGATAGATGAGGCATTCATCATCATCATCATCATCATTCCACCCTTCACCCCAAGGTTCTGGTACCAGATGTGTCCGGGGTTAAATCTCACCCACCGCCCCAGCTGTCGTTCCCTTCTTAGATGCACGAAGAATCAGTAGTAAAGCGTTCTGCACATGCTCAGAGGCACACTCTTGGTTCCACATATTATACAGACGAGCCCTTGCATTGGAAAAAAATGGTTCTGGGGCAAAGGCTTCAATCTCATCCGATGCAGCCTTAAAACGGGGTGTGTTGGGGGGCGGGGGGCGAGCTTTCCAGCCACCCTCTGCCTGGCGTTCCTCCCCACCCGCGACCCTCCCTTTGCCCCACTCTCCCCAAAGCCCTGGGGAGCGTTGCTGCTCCTGCCGGCGCTGCCTCCGCGTGTGGTTATTGCTGTTTAGCATTCCATCACGCACTCGCTTCCCCCTAATCACTGCTAGGAAAGCGGTGCCTTTACCGGCAACTTCAGACCTGCCAGGAACAGCTAACGGCCCTGACTGCGCATGATTAGCTCATAAACACCACCCAAGCCAGGAAGAGCAGGGAAGAGAGAGGGAGAGAGCGCAGGGCCAGGACGCCTGGGTTCTCTGGCCAGGGAGCGAGGGGTCCAGAGCGCTGCTGTGTCAGGATGCCGAGGCTCTCTTACCAAGGGGGAGTGGCGAGTCGCGGCTGGCTCCGTGGCTCCATTGGGGCGGGTGCCTTGAGAGAGGGGTGTGTGTGTGTGTGTGTGTGTGTGTGTGTGTGTGTGTGTGTTGGATTGCTGTAAAATAGAGATCCATCTCTCTTCCCCCCCCCCCCGCACTCTTCCCTGCCCCCAGCCATTGATATTGGATGTACTGACTCCATTGTTTTCTACTGCACACACAACTGATCAGGGATGGACAAGAGATGTTGCAGCAGCAACCCGCACCTATTCTGCATCCCTGACGCAATGTGTATACTCATTAAGCTCACACTTCTGGGAGCTACTGTGAAAAGAAGGGAGAGTGCCAGTCGCTATAACCATTAAGAGGGATTTGCAAACGACGAAGGATGTAAAAATGATCATTGTACGTCAAGCATGCCACTTTTTGCAGACTCATTCAGCACTGCATGCACATCTACATATAAACACATCTGCGCATGGGTAACATTGCCCATACAGACCCCACGTGCTCCATAAGCACTCGCCAGGACGCCATCACACTATACATTCAAACCAGGATATGTACATATAACACCATGTGTGCAAACTGTGTACACTCCCCCCCCCGCAAAATTTACACAGACACTGTACTGATGCACACAATCATATTTGTGTGCATGCTCCTCATGTGTCAGATATAGGAATAGAAATAAACACACCCACATTGGGCATCATATATGAAGGCATTTTAATGCATGTGCACACACCAAGGGGACACACACACATATGTACACCTTACACTGCAATAATATGAACAGACAAACCATAGCTATGCATTCACAGTATTTACCCTTAAGGAATGATCTACCAAAGAGACACACACGAATAAACGGATACAAGACAGCACACATTTATGCATGTCTACTCAGAAACAAGTAAATGTGCATAGGAATACAGCACTATGCACACACTCCAGGGCAAATCCACAAGCTCCATGCACATGCCAATTTTACACAAGCACTCACCTATACATATGGGAAGGTATACACCTGCATGTCTGTACCTGCCCAAAATGTGTATACTTGGTACTGGTGTTACAATGGTTCTGTAAAATCGAGAGGTACAGTACAATAGAAGTATATTAAATAAAACTAGCAAGTGACCCCCCCCACCTATGTATTGCATTGATTTCTTTTTCACATTTGTATCATATCAGGGTCAAGGTGGCAGACATGGGACCGTCGCGTCTACATCACAACAGCCCTACAAGGTAAGTTACGAAGAACAGAAGAAACTGGCTTGTATAGAGTTGACCAACCTAGCCCAAGCACACTGGCTGGCAGTGTAGGACTAGCAGTGGGGTGTCCAGGGTTTCGAACACAGGTCTCTTCCAGCTGTACCTGGAGATGCCAGGGGTTGAATCTGGGACCTGCTCAATGGAATGCATGAGCTCAGCCACGGAGTTTCAGCCCCTTCCTAAGTTAGGCTCAAAACCAGCAACTAAACTAAGGATAATCTCCAAGGCTCATTCCAACCCAGGTATCTCCCTGGCCCAAGTCCACCACTATATGTGTAAGACTTGTAGCACTATAATCCTATATCCAAAATCCACAGGATCAAACATAATGTTGCTGCATAGTGAGCAAGCTTTGGAACATTCTCCGAACTCTTTCATCAGCCTAGATATTAGGCAGATAAAGGAACACAATACAGTCATACCTTGGTTGTCAAACGCCTTGGTACAGGTATGTTTTGGCTCCCGTACACCGCAAATCCGGTTTGCGAATGTTCTTTGGAAGACAAATGTCCACCGCAGCTTACGCGGCTTCTGATTGAGTGCAGGAAGCTCCTGCAACCAATCGGAAGCTGCGCCTTGGTTTTCGAACATTTTCAGAAGTCAAAGGGACTTTCAGAATGGATTCTGTTCAAGAACCAAGGTACGACTGTATCTGCAGGTTATAACAAACAATGTATGTGTAATGTATATGGAGCTTTAGGGGCAAATGAGGGCCAGCAGATTTATCCTCACACGAACCCTGTGAGGTAGGTTGGGTTGAGAAACAGCAACTGGCCCAATGTTACCACCTAGCCATCATAGCCATCATTGCAGACGAGCTTGAATTCGCACCCTGGACTCCCCATTCTCAACGAAACACCAGATCACCACACTGTAAAGTACCGTTTATGTTCATCTCCAGCTTCACTGCTGAACAGGAATATAAACCCAGGTCCTCATTCCATGCTCTTCCCAGAACACCACACTGTAAAAGTAATAGTAGGTAAAAGGTAAAGGACCCCCGGATGGTTAAGTCCAGTCAAAGGTGACTATGGGGTTGTGGTGTTCATCTCGCTTTCAGGCCAAGAGAGCCACTGTTTGTTCGCAGACAGCTTTCCGGGTCATGTGGCCAACATGACTAAACTGCTCCTGGCACAACGGGACACCATGACGAGTGCCAGAGCGCACAGAAACGCTGTTCCCACCACAGCAGTACCCATTTATCTACTTGCACTGGCTTGCTTTCAAACTGCTAGGTTGGCAGGAGCAGGGACAAAGCAACAGGAGCTCACCCCACCCAGCGGATTCGAACCGCTAACCTTCTGATCAGAAAGCCCAAGAGGCTCAGTGGTTTAGACCACAGCACCACCAGCTCCCCTTAGTTTGTTGTTGTTTAGTCGTGTCCAACTCTTCGTGACCCCATGGACCAGAGCACGCCAGGCACTTCTGTCTTCCACTGCCTCCCACAGTTTGGTCAAACTCATGCTGGTAGCTTCAAGAACATGATCCAACCATATCATCCTCTGTCGTCCCCTTCTTTCCCAACATCGAGGCCTTTTCCAGGGAGTCTTCTCATGAGGTGGCCAAAGTATTGGAGCCTCAGCTTCAGGATCTGTCCTTCCAGTGAGCACTCAGGGCTGATTTCCTTAAGAATGGATGCGTTTGATCTTCTTGCAGTCCATGGGACTCTCGAGAGTCTTCTCCAGCACCATAATTCAAAAGCATCAATTCTTCGGCGACCAGCCTTCTTTATGGTCCAGCTCTCACTTCCATACATCGCTACTGGGAAAACCATAGCTTTTACTATACGGACCTTTATATTTTACTATACACCCCTTAGCAGCAGCAGTAGTAGTAGTAGTAGTAAGTAGCAATAACAATAACACATTTGTATTATTTATTATATTTATGAGATGCTTCATTAAAAATCCCTATAAAACTGCAATAAACCTAAGAGACAACCAGCCTACGAACTCAGAAAGCAAAACCAGTGCTGATATTCGGCAGTAAAATACTATCTATAGCGCTTCCAAGTGTTCAGAGCGTTTCTCCGTGCGCCAAGCAGTTCTAACCCCTTTAACAACTCTGTTAGCCAAGTCACTATTATTACCATCTCTCCTCTCTGAGTTCACAGCCTCGGCCTCTATTTTACAGGGAGCGATGGGGGCGGGTGGAAGTCAGTGCCTGGGTAAGACCGCCTAGCGGTTAGCTCACGGCAGAGCCGAGATTCGAACCGGGAACTTAGTCGCCCGCGGACCCGTCGCTTAGCCGCTGCGCTACACCGGCTCTCATTGGATGTTCCTCTCCATGTTCCGCGCACAGGACGCTCTACCTACACCGCCTAATAGGTGCGCACGAACAAAAACTCCTGCTCCGTGCACGCGCGTCAGTGCAAACTGCCCATGTGCAGAGGGCAACCTCATGTGCAAAGTGAAGGCGGCTGGCGGGTGGCTGGAGCGGGAGCCGTGGCGGCCACTTGGGGGAAGGTTTTCCCGCTTCGTCTCTTGGGACGCCCGGCCGCGAGGGGGTTAAACGGGTCTCGCGTGGCTGTTGTTTTTTTGCTTTTCGGCCCGCGGGATCTCCCTGCAAGCCCCTGGATCACCTTACCCAACCTCTCTTCCCTCTTCTGCAGCAGGGATAGGCGGGGACCAGCTCGCTTTCCCCTCCTCCTTACCAACAGTCCCCTCCACACTTCCAGGAATCACCCAGGAAAAAAAAAAAGGCAGGAGGGGGAGGGCGAGGGGGAGGGAGCCTAGCGGGGTTTACACAGCCACTTCCTGCCAATCAGGAGCCTGCCAGCCACCTCCGGCGGCCAATGAAAGTTCTGACCATTCATAAAAATAAATACTCTTGCCACACTCCACCCCAGCCACACACAGGCACCAGGAATCCAAGCCTCTCTTTCCCCCAGCGTGTCAGTTTTCCCGTGAAATAGACAAGCTCCTCTTGGAACCGGAGCAGCTCAAATATTATTCTTGTAGCTCTTTCCCGCCCTTCTCCGTCCCTCCAGCTCCCAGCACGATGCAGCCAGCAGCAGCCACACGCTGACATGAGATGCGAGTTCACCGGCTCTCGCTCTCTTCCTCCTCCTCCTCCTCCTCCCACCGCCGGCCAGCCCCGCTTTACTCCGCTAACGGGAAAAGCGCTTCAGAAACGCGCGCGCACATTCACACGCACTTCCAGGAAACCAGAAAGACGCTGCGATTCTTGGCGAAAGGAAACGGATCGGTCGGCCTTTCTGCGCGCACACTCCTCCCCCCTCCGCCCCGAGCAACTTCCACCACTTTCGACTCCTCTTGAGTAGTCCTAATCCGGGAGGTATCCGGTGTGTGTGTGTGTGTGTGCCGGGGAGGGGGATGCGGGGGGGAGAGAGACATTAATTGGCCCAGCCTGGGAACAAGCCTCCCATCCGGTGCGCCCCAGGCGCGCGGGGCGTTTGCAGACTCTGCTCGGCACACCGCTTCCCCCTCCCGACCACAACCCGCCCCCCTCGCCGGCGTTGCAAGTATGGCAAAGGCAGGCGATCGGACTGGGCTCGGTTTCGCCAGAGGATCCCGCGAAGGGGAGAGCATTTTTAAATTTTGATCCCCCCCACCCCACCCGTTTCCTCCCTCCCTCTCTTTTCTTCCACTCTTGGAGAGACACACACAGGCACCTCGCTGCTTTCACGCCGCCAAAGGTAAGTGAGTTTAAAATAACGACGACGGCGAGAGCATTAATAACCCCCATCCCACTCCCTGTTTTATATTGTTGGTGCCAGAAGTGGGGGACAGGGCTGAGATTGCGAAGGTGGGGAGAAGACGACGAGGAGACAGGACCAGCCCGCCCAGAGCTGGAAGCGAGGAGTAGTCAGTGCCCGGTAACTTTGGCTCCAGCACTATTGTGGTGGTTTTCGTGTCAGGCGCTAGTCAGCCTGGGGGAAATAACTTTCTCCAAGTTTAATTTTGTATCCTCGTCATAAAGGATTAATTATTATGAGGGTTATTAATTATTTAGGGAAATAAGGGGAATCCAGATTATAGGCAAAGCCTATAATATAGGTGGTTTAGGTTGGGGGGGGGGTAAACAAGGACTAGAATCTGTACAAATTGGAAATCTGACCAAAAAAAATAAAATCAAAGAAAATGCAAACTTCCAAAACATTTAACATTTTGCTTTTGAGAGCTGACTTCTGGAGGATATTACTGTAATGTTCTATCTTTGTGGCTGTTGTAATTAAAACAAAACAATACGCACAGCCAACTTGCTACATTCAGGACTTTTCCATTTACACCACACACGCCTTAAAAAAACCTAGTGGGATTGCACAACTGGGAGTATTGGGAGGGAAGTGGAAAATCAGCAGGATTTTTAAATTCAGCCAACCCAACAGAAAATTTATTTAGGAGTTGGTTTTCGAACCATAGCAAAACCTTGCTTGGAAGCCCCAGCTTATTTCCACATATTCCCCTTGTAAAGATGAACAGTGTTTCTATGCTGTTTTGTGGAATTCTATCCCTAGTATCATCAACATCATCGTTATTTGTTATCACCACCATCAAAATAGGTATTGATTGCCTTTCCGTAAACCATCCTGAAGGCATTGTTGCTGCTTGAAAAATGAAGGAGACAATAACATGTAATTAAGAGCAGCGAGAAAAGGAGGGGCCTTTTGGGGGTAAAGGCTGCAACTCGGAGGAAGAGCATCTACTTTGCATTGCAAAAGGTTCCCTGGTTCAGGTGCGGCTGGGCATGTTCCGTGTCTGAAACCCTGGAAAACCACTGCTAATGGTGCTACGACTGAACTAGAAGGACTAATTGTCTGACTGTGTTTAAGGCTTTTTACTATGTTCCTACAGCCCAACCCAAGATGTGCATATTTAAGTCCTGTTTATTTAAGTGGGAAACTTATGCCCATGCTTAAGCCTTCCGTTTTAAATGTGATCCCCTTTTCTAAAGCCTTCAAGTCCAAAGCGATTGCAAAAAAGTTTTGCTAACAAGAGAGAAAGAAAGAGAAAGAAAGGCAATGAGGTGTGGCCAGCTTGGCAGGGTGTTCTGCCATTGCAATGCCGCTGTTGAGGAGACTCTTCCTTAAGTACAGTATAGAGAAAAAGGTGTGTGGGACTCGGAGTCAAACTGCCTTAGAAGATCACCGGTGCCAAGAATGTTCCTATGTGCCTCTTGTTTATGGTTAACCATCAAGGACTCGATTTAAACCCATGCAGAGATTCAACAGGTAACCTCCTCCAGGGGACCGTTCTGCAGCTCCCTCCCTCCCCCCCCCCCTTGGGAGTGAATTGTCCAACTGCACCCAAGGCAGAAGGAAAACCCAGAGCGCCGACTCACACAGAGATATGACAGGCAACACCCATCTGACAGCAGTTCTTGTATGACTGGAAGCTGCTAGCACAGCTGATCCAAGCCGGATTTCTCTCCTCCAGCAAAGACTGGAAAGCTAGAGCAGCGACTCACTCAGAGAGGCAGCCTTATTGTGGATGGGTACTTCTGGCTCACAAAAACAGTTAGTCATTTACTTTCTTTTTTTCTGGGGAAAAAAGAACATAGGGAGCTGACCTATGCCTGGTCAGGCTGCTGATCCATCCAGGATGTAGATCTACCTACTGCCTTTCCCATCACCTGCTACCCGATGTTTTTAAGTGGGGGTCCAGGGGACGTGGGTGGCGCTGTGGGTAAAACCTCAGCGCCTAGGGCTTGCCGATCGAAAGGTCAGCGGTTCGAATCCCCACGGCGGGGTGAGCTCCCGTTGTTCGGTCCCAGCGCCTGCCAACCTAGCAGTTCGAAAGCACCCCCGGGTGCAAGTAGATAAATAGGGACTGCTTACTAGCGGGAAGGTAAACGGTGTCTCCGTGTGCTGCGCTGGCTCACCAGATGCAGCTTGTCACGCTGGCCACGTGACCCGGAAGTGTCTGCGAACAGCGCTGGCCCCTGGCCTCTTAAGTGAGATGGGTGCACAACCCTAGAGTCGGACACGACTGGCCCGTACGGGCAGGGGTACCTTTACCTTTTATCAGGGGTTGACCCTGGGACCATCTCAATCCAAAGCTTATGCTTCACCCACTGAGCCAATGTCCCCTTCCCTGGTTTCCTAATGGCAGGGCTTGCAGTTTCTTCATAGTGTTGCGCTTAGGTAATTTTAGACTCTGGACACTAATGGGCTCGCAGCCTGCCCCACTTTAGGCGGTCATGTGTTTTGCTTCCCTTTCTTCAGAATGTGGCAAGCCTTTCACCCCCTGTTCCTGCTGCCGAGGGAGACAGCTGGACCTCTGGCACAAAGACTTGCCCCATGGCAGCCACTGTTTGCTTGCGGCACCCAAGTTGGCAGGGACATTGATGGGTAACTTAACCATTTCAAGGCCTGGACACAAAGGCAAACATTAGCATAACGTTTCCATGTGCTAATGTATATGTAGAGATGGGAACATCTCTAGGGATTGAATCTGAGACTTTCTGCGGGTGCTCCAACCACTAAGCTGACAGCCCTCCCCCCTTAAAAAAAACAAAAACCCACCCACAGATTTCTCACCCAAATCATCCCAGATAATTTTTTCAGTTAATTTAGGAACAGAGGTTGCCTCTACTCAGTTCCTCTTCAGATTCATTTATCCCCATTGATTTCTCACAGGCCCTTCTCCAAATCAATTCTTTTTGCCCAAATCAACTCTAGATAAAGTAGTTTTAAATTAATTTATTTCCCCAGGTGAGTATCCTACACAGTAACCTAGAGCTCTCTCACACGCATGCATTCAATTTCCCTTGAATTCATTACCTGGCTTCAAACACTAGGGGGCATTAGAAAAAGGTTTGAACCCCCGTATCGCATGGGCCCACCTGTATCAACTCTACAGTTTGGGAATTACTAAATTCCCAATGTTTGTGTGTGGGTGTGGAGGTTTTATTTCTGCATCAGAACCTCATCACAGCCCTGCCAGCCTGTACAGGGTGCTTGGGGGGGGGCGCGTGATTTCTGCCTGAAGAATGATAGGTGCAGAAAGCACCACTCAATTCATTTTTTTTTCAGGAGAGATTGGGGAACAGGGTACTGTACTAGAATCCTGCGGCCACATCCAAGCTCGTGTATCTGAACAACAGAACTGTGCTCTAATGTAATATAAATCCCCACCCTCCCTCTCAGTATTATTCACAGATGCCTCCTTTAAAAAATAAGAAGAAGTAATTCCATATATTGTTTAATTTTTCTGGAGCAGCATTCGCCACGTTGATTCTGCTGTGGGAATGAAGGCTTCCAAAAGCACTTTTCTGGCAGAGGTTCTTTGTAAACACTGGCATAGCATAGCTTCCCCCCCGCCCCCGCCCCCGCCCAGCAAGTTAACCACACCCATCCCACTTAGTCTCCTCCCCCTAACTTTTTCAGAGGGTCTCGGGAAGCAGCTACAGTGGGATGATAAGATCTTCCAAGATGGTGTTCAGCAGCAGAATGGTCACTGCAGCCTGATGTGTTCTTGGGGCTGCACCACTTCAGTATGGGGGAATGATTCTTGATTTCTGTATGCAGGGATGTTTTGGTGTGGGGAAACTTGTCAAATGTGCAGCCTTCAGCTTCTAGTGGTACAGTCCTGAGGAGGCTTTACCAGGCGGAGCCTGCATATTAGCTCTAAAACGGGGGTTCAGACCTTGTTGTTCCTTTTTATGCTCGCAAGCAGATACGCATCGGGTGAAGTTTCCCTATCGCTACACCTCTCTCAAGGAAAAGCATCACCTGTTGAATTTCTGCCCACACACAGCTGGCAGAGGTACGGTATATGACGCCCACCAGAGGGGAACCAAAAATATGGCAACCCTGGTCTAAGCCATGCTTGAGTAGTCTTTGATTCCTTGTTATAGGAGAGTATCAGGAGGTTCAGACCTAGAGGGCACCAGCATATATTGTTCTGAGATGGGCAACAACTTTGGGGTACTTAATGTGTGCAGTTTGCAAATCCGTGGGAAATCCTAGACAGCTGGACAGTTCAAATTACTTGAGAATGTGCAATGAACATAACAGTGATTCCTTTCCAAAGTGACAAAAAAAGGTCTTTGCTTCCTCTTTCCCAGGAAGTAGGAAGTTGCAGAGTATGTTTCCTTTTAATGAAATAACAGTTACAAAGGCTTTGCAGCAGGTGTTTACTTATAAAAAGACAAAAACATTTTGGGATCAAACAGGCTTATACAGGCCCCACAAGTGCTATTTTGGGTAGTAGACTCTCAAGGTGGTACTAGGTGAACCGCTACAGCCCACCCCAAGACTTCACTGCCAGCTCGCTGTGAGATTCCTTGTATGGCTCCCTATCTCCACCCCAAACTCTGGTGAGTGTTGCATTCCAAAGGAAGGAGAGTTTTCCATCCATCAAGGACCAGGATGCTGTTTTGACTACCATAGAAGTGGGTGGCACTGTGGGTTAAACCACAGAGCCTAGGACTTGCCGATCAGAAGGTCGGCGGTTTGAATCCCCGCGACGGGGTGAGCTCCCGTTGCTCGGTCCCAGCTCCTGCCAACCTAGCAGTTCAAAAGCACATCAAAGTGCAAGTAGATAAGTAGGCACCACTCCGGCGGGAAGGTAAACGGCGTTTCCGTGTGCTGCTCCAGTTCTCCAGAAGCGGCTTATTCATGTTGGCCACATGACCCGGAAGCTGTACGCTGGCTCCCTCGGCCAATAAAGCGAGATGAGCGCCGCAACCCCAGAGTCGGCCACGACTGGACCTAACGCTCAGGGTTACCGGTACCTTTACCTTTACGTGCCTCTTACAAAATCATTTTATGACCAGTCATATCCATATCATTAAATGTTTAGCACATTTAAAGCCACCTGTTGAACTACTGTAAATGTGCTTTAAATGTATGGTGTAGATGTGATTTCAGTAGAGGGATTTGAACCCAACTCTTTAAGCAGGCCTGGTCCTAGTATAAATAGCATCTTGGGGTGAGGGATGCCTGCAGCACTCCCCTCTGTGGCTGGTTTTGTAGGGTTGCCAAGTTATGTAGCTTGTGCAAGGTTGCAAAACCTGACAGTATAACATGCCCTTGTTGCTCCCAGGCATTCCCAGAAATGCTCATGAAAAGATCCCGGAGCTACCTGTCAATGATTTTGCCCCAGCAGTGTAGACAGAACAGTCAACAAACTCTGAACTTAGCTGGACAACAACACACACACACACACACCTTCTTCAGCTTGGCACCCAAGGAGAGCAACACAGCTCATCCACCGCTATGTTTGAGCTACAGCCATTAGTTCCAAGTAATCACACAACCAGATCTGCTGTGAGATCAAACAGTCTTCTATGCTTCTGTCCAGTTTAGTAACAGGAAAAGCTTTGGAGATGTGTCAGCAGAACAAGGTGGGAGAGGGGTGAGGCAGTGGAAGGGAGAGCACCACTGTACACTGCAGATAAGAGGTTCCTACAAGAGCATCTTCTCAATGCTTCGTCCCTGCAGCCTGTTCCTCTTTTGGATATATAATCCCCTGGACGATGATACTGTGGGGGAAATATCATTGCTTCTTAGAATGATGGCATTGTAGGGTTGGAAGGGACCCCAAAGATCATCTCTGCAATGCAGGAATCTCTGCTAAGGCATCCACCCAAGATCCACTTAAAAACCTCCACGGAGTGTCTGCCACCTTCCAATACACGGGAGTCTGTTCCACTGTTGAACAGTGCTTGGTGTTAGACAGTTATTCCTGTAGAGTCAGGATCTCCTTTCTTGTCACTTGAATCCACTAGTTCCAGTCCTAATCTCTGGAGCGGGAGAAAACAAGTTTGCTCCATCTTCCATGTTAACAGCCCTTTAGATATCTGAAGATGATTATCATATCTCCTCTGAGTAGAACTTAGTTGGATACAAGTCATTGATTTTAATGGGTGTATTCCCTGTATGACTAATTGGATATCACTCAGGATCCTAATATGTCCTCCCTGCTTTGATATCTGGGCACCCAAATTTGCCTTTGTTCTTCTGGGTATAACTTTCATGGATGATTCCCATAGCTACTAGTGGCAAAGGCTTGTGCAAGAGCTGAGTTTGCTCAATCATAGCCCAGCAAACACTGGACAACATAGCTAAGGCTTCCTGCAAGAAGTTGAAAGCTGTGAAGCCAAGTGCTCCAGCTTGGTGCACTGGAATGTCAACACAACATCCTTGGTTTGATCTGGTCAGCAAAAGAGGGTTTTTTTCTGTCCCCACCCCCCCCAAGGCCTTACCAATTTTGATGACGTGGCAAAAAAAATAAAAATTAGGTACAGCACTAGAGTGGGCAGAGAGACCTAGTGCCCTGGTTAGGTTGCAAATCACCTCCTGCCCAGTTGGCAGTTTGATCTGGTGGCCACAACCTCCCATCTCAGCTAATCTGCATGGAGTTGTGTGTCTGTAAGTGTGTGAGGTGGCCACACACAAACACACACAGCACTGATGGACAACACCTGGAAGTTTTTGGCCAAGGGTGAATGTGGCTCTCAAACCAAAAAAAGCTCTGCTTGGGATAAAGTGTCAAAGCTACTTTTCAAACAAACTTTGCTAAACCGGCTTTGTCCAGTTGTGCTGCTCTGAGATCTTTCACAGCAAATGCACAGGAATAATATGAAGCATTTTTAGTTAGCGTGTCTCCATTTAGGTGCATATTGAAATAGACCTATTTCCCAAGTTTCCTGGTTCTGCTTTTATGCTTTGTCTCGAGCAAATAAGACATGAGTCCAGGGGAGAGACCTGCACCTTTCAGCTGGAGTTTGAAAGCCGGCAGGTTCCTGATGCATGAACCGTCTCTGCCTTCCTTTTCAGATGCTGCTCCGGTAACCGACTGAGCGTCTCTCCCGGCCAACTGGAGGCGCAATGGTCCCCCTGTGCTGGTGCTGCCCGCCAGCACCTGCTCCAGCTGCGGCGGCCATGACGGGCACGGCCACAACCTCCTACCACTTCAAGAGTTTTTGTGGGGAGTTTGAGCGGGTGGAAAGCGCCCTGGAACGCCTCGAGGCCAGCGGCTTCTACTGGGGCAGCCTGTCTGGGGCCGAAGCCAAGCGCCTTTTGACCTCCCAGCCGCCCGGCGTCTTCCTCGTGCGAGATTCCTCCGACCACCACCACCTCTTCACCCTGAGCGTCCGCACCAACACGGGCATCACCAACCTGCGCATCCAGCAGCAGGGCTCAGCTTTCCACCTGGAGGCTTTGCCAGGCGCTGGCCACCCCCCGGCCTTCCACTGTGTGGTCCGGCTAGTAGAGCACTATCTGTGCCTGGGAGCAGTAGAAGGGGGGCCTTGCTACCTGGAGAGGGAGGGGCAGCCCCCAGTGCCTTTGGCCCTCGCCCATCCTCTCTGCTGCAAAGTGCCCACCTTGCAAGAGCTGAGTCGCCGGGCAGTGCGTGCCAGTATGAGGGGCAGAGGCGATGCCAGGGCCCAGCTGCAGGGGCTGCCAGTACCGCAGGGACTCTTGAACTCGCTGTGCACCTGAAAGGCTCGTTTCCTTCCTAACATTCCTTGTACAGTACATAAGCAGGCCTGTCTGCACAGTGTATTGCTGGGGGCGCCTGTTTATCATTATCTTTGTGGAATAAACCAACTGGTATACTGGGGCCAGCCATCTCTTCATTCATCAAAAGCCTTCAAATTCATTCTGATGCTCTCAAGATGTCAGGTATCACCAGAAGCAGAGAAAAGGAAAAAGGCTGCCTATTCCAAGACCTGGGTGGGCTTGTAAGACAAGCCCCCACCTCAAAAGCACATTCAGAGAAAGGTATAAAGAACTCCTGCTCTCGGGAGGAGTTGCATCATTGCAGGTTCACACTTGTAATCTTGATGGCCTAAGATGTAACTGTTGCCCTAGAACAGGTAAGAGTTCTCTTATTCACCAGAATGTCACTAGGAGATGCACTGCTCAGTGTTAAATGAGGGGTAGATGCAGTAAATCTAGCAACCATCAGAAGTATAGTACAGTGGTACCTCGGGTTAAGTACTTAATTCGTTCCGGAGGTCCGAAACTGTTCTTAACCTGAAGCACCACTTTAGCTAATGGGGCCGCCTCCTGCTGCTGTGCCGCCGGAGCACTATTTCTGTTCTCATCCTGAAGCAAAGTTCTTAACCTGAAGCATTATTTCTGGGTTAGCGGAGTCTGTAACCCGAGGTACCACTGTAATTTGTCAGAATAAACCTGCAGTCTTCTAGGTGTGAGCAACCTCCGTTCCTTCAGATGTTGACAAACTAAAAGCCCCTCATCCCTTCAGCAACATCTGAAGGGATAAAAGTTCCCCATACCTGTTTTAATGTGCCACAAGCCAAGGTTCTTAAACGTTTAGCTAGAAATTGTGCACTATGCTACAAATGAGAAGCCCTTGCTTCCCATAGTTTCTGGGGAAGGATGTGGGCATTCCATGACCAAGGAAAAGGCATTCTTTGTACAGGTCAGACTGGTTTTCCTTTGCAAAGGCATCCTTCTCTCCGCACCAGAGCCTTCTCCCACTCACTTTTCATGTTTGACCACCACCACATCCCATTTTTCTACACGTGACACAAATCTTTCCAGTCACTGCCCTAAGGGCAGGTCATTACTGTAACTTGACAGGCCTCGAGAATGTTGACACAGGAAACTAGTTGTTGAGAAAAAGACGTTTTGAGGCAAAAAGAAAGTACAAGCTCAGCTAATCTGATGCTGCATCTGGCAACTCTTTAGCTTGTGTATGTTTTCCTAAACAGCCTGGTGTGTGCAAAGGCCGTGTCACTGGGGAGCTTGGAAGAGCAGAGGGGGCCACAGATCTGCAGCAGTGTTTAAAGAAAGGAGTGGCTTCTAGTTTATTACAAGGGACTAGGCTATACCAGTGAGCATATATGCTCAACACTTGCCATGCACTCAAACCCTGTACAAATGAGCAGGAACAACTTGCCATACCAGATGTGTTAAAGCTTTAAAACAAAAAAATCTTAAGCTACCTTTGTCTAAAACTGTACCCGACCAATTAATAATTGAAGTTAATTTTTGTATCCTGTGCTGTTCCAGTTTACCCGAATGTTAACTCGAGCCACCCTGCCCCCATTTAAATCAACTGCAGTCATGGGTTGTCTGATTTCAATCTTATTCTTGGGTTGTAGATTCTGCATTTCTTGTTGGCAAGCCAGATCTCTTACTGGAAACTCTGGGAGTCCCTGCCAATTTGTCTCCAAGGCGAGGTGACCCAGAGCTTCAAGCTGCTCTGATAAAACTTGAAGGCTAATTTAACTTCAACTTCTGTTTGCTTGGAAGTCTCCTTGAAAGCAATGAGACACAGCACACATGGGAGGTGCATGCAAAGTTGGCACCCAAAGCGCTCAATTCTGCTCCTGGACCCCAAATCTCTCACTTTTCCACCTGCCATCTGTTCCCGTAGATGCCTCCGGGAAAGATCCCAACTTGTTTCCTGCCAATTTCTTTAATCATCGCTCACCTTTATGCTATTTTCAGCAGCGATCGTTTCCATCTACTGGAGATAAAGGTTGCAATTCAGCTATACATATATGCATGCTAATTCCATGAATAATCCCCCTTGAGAGTGTGCAGAAAAACAAGGGGAAGTATAGTATTATGGGTCCAGGGAATCAATGACCCAGGCAGCCACTGGGAATGGCCTCTCCTCTAGATTTCAGTTTCAACTTTCCAAGGCAAGGGGGAGGGGGTTGGCGGAAGACAAAAAACAACTACCGCTCCTTGTTTTTGGACCCTTCTGTGGAGTTAACCATTTCATAGATGGAAAAGAGGCATGTATATGTTAAGAGTACAGTATTGGCGCACTGTACCCTCCTCAGCCACACTCCACTACTAGCCCCATTCCCAACCGACAATTGGCTGCTGCTCCTTCCTATGCAGATGTCCTTTTTGTGAAAGTGCTAGGAACAACCCTCAACTGAGTTTCTCATCTGAACAGAGCGCCCCATGCAAGATCACTTGTTGCAGGTATTATCAGGTATTTTCGAGATGCACCCCCGACACCAGAAGGGCTACAATATTTTATCCACAAATATTTTTTATTGTGTAATGTTACAGTTAAGGCAGGCTTGATTCCCCACCGGCATGAGCGGAGGGGGGCCACCCCACAGCTTAATCTTCTTCCTCATCATCACCGCCTCCAGCACCACCCTGGCCCTTCTTGGCATTCTTCCTCTTGACGCGACCTGGGCGGCCACCACCATATGGTGAGCGGAGGGAGAAGTCAATATGCTTTTGGGAGTCCAGGCGGACGATGAAGGAAGGGATGTTCACTACTTGCTTCCTTACACTGAAGAGGGAGAAAGGAAGCAGTTACAGACGTTCCAGCTAAACCCGGTAGCATTCTTCTTAAGAAGGATTTTTCACAGAACTAGAGAGCTAAAGTGATTGATGGAAGAGAGCCAAGTGAGGAATCAAGTGATCACCCCCCAATTCCAGCACTCAGGGAGTTTAAAATTTAAAAACTCAGCATTTGGGAACATGGAAATTAACATCCTGCTCCTATTATCAAAGCCAGGGTTAACCTCAGCCCCTTCCTTAATTAACACTGCAATGAATTCCTAAACAAGATACTCAGAACTAAGCCCCACCATTCAATAGGTCTTTCTTACACATTAATAAGTGTTGAACAATACAACTCAAAGCAACTATGCCCTCACAACTTTTACTCGCAAAACTGGTCACAGAACAAAGGTTCAGAACGAACCAACAGGAAATGCTTGGGAGAAACTGACTCAAGTTTGACATTTACTGCTGTTGCCCTCAGTATACAATGGCGAGATGAATGCCTGGTTATACTAAAAACTGGGTGTAACAGCAGACAATTCACTAACAAGAGGGATAACATCAACACTTTGTGCCGAGAAGGAGCAGAGTTGCTAGTTGTTACCTCTACTGCCCACACGCCAAGACCTTCGCAAGGTGTACGGCTGAGCCGCAGTGAACCTTGCCGAAACTGTTGGTGCTTTTGGCATACAGCCTCATTAGGCAGACTGCAGGGCTTTTAGGTTATCCAGGGTTCCAGTCCAGGGGAGGGATTGGTGGGGTAAAAAGACACACGGCTGGGACATGTCCACACATCTCCCTGCACAGGCCACACATAAGAGACATCAGATGCATTACTTCAGAGGTAGACCCTGTCTTTACAACCCACAGCAACTCAGTCATTGCTTTTGGCTTCGTTCTGCTTAAGTGAAATGCCATTTCTAAACATACTCCAAGGCAACATACCGGATGTGTCTTTGACGGATGAGCACCCGGGCATGGTGGATGGACTTGGCCAGGCCCAGCTTGAAGACCTGGGTTTGGAGACGCCTTTCCAGAAAATCCTCAATTTTCAGACCCAGGATGTAATCCAGCTTCATCTTGCCCTCATCCAGCACCCCAATTCTGACCAGACGGCGCAGCAGGGCATTACCTAGGAAAAGATATGGACACGTAAACAAGCTGAAGAGGCCCACACACGATTAGAGAAGTGGGCACAAGATTCATGTATTTTGGTACGTCTTAAGTGGCCATGAAAAAAGCATTCTCTATGAAATGCTAATGACGGGTGGGGGAGAGAAGAGGAAGAAATGGCACCAAGTTGACGCCAGCATCTGAAACTCCCTTTGTTCTAGGTGTGCTTTGCGAAAGGGAATTTCATATTTTGAGCAGTTTCTGAGCTCTGGGTGCAGTACTGCGCCTAAGATTTCAAATTAAAATTGCCACTGCTAGAAGGAAAGGAGGACTTTTTTCTGCCTCCCCACTTTCAGCCACTCTGAAGACTGGAGAAGGGACCCTCATAATATTACAGGGGCAGGCAGGGGAAGTATGGATTTGTTTTTTGCAGTCTTCAGATAAGGACCAAACCATGTGAAAACTGAACTTAAGACCTTACCTGCAGTTCATTCATTTTCAGCTTTGTATTCTTGTTATAAAAAAGTGAACCTAGAAACTCTGTTGCAACACCCATAACATAGGTTTAAGGTGCCATTTAGCTCCTAGCTTTCATATCTCAGTTTCTAGCACAGGTTGACATGTTTAGTTACATACTACTAAGCAGCACTATAGTATATTACATTGACCTTGAAATCACAGTTCAAATCCCTAGCTCAGCCACAAATGGTGGGCAGTCTTTGAGAAGACAGTCAATCTCAGCCTTAGTCTCTGATCTGAAATATGGGACTGATTTAAAAGATTCTCAAGACAATATGTAAATATAATTACAGCAGTAAAAACAATTCAACATAGGTAACTGATATTAATCCAATAGATCTGGTCTATTCCTTTAAATCTAACACAAGAAATAAGCATTAAATGTGTGTGTGTGTGTACACAGAGAGAGAGAGAGAGAGACCGGGACCTGTATCATAAAGTAGTATTTACAATAAAATCTATATATAACACATTGAAATCTAAAACCAGAGACCATCAACTAACCATTATGGAAAGATGAAAATATTACAACTGTCCATAACAGTAAGTTGACAATCTCTGGTTTTAAATTTAATTGGACCAGATCCAAGAAACTGGTAGGATTCATAAAGGAAGTGAACTCACATCCCAGATCCCTTAATCTGCTGGTAGCCGTTAAAGGGATCCGCAACAGCAAAAGAACCATTAAAGATGCCGAAGACTGGCATGCCCAGCCCTAACATACCCTCAAAGAGACGCCTCTGATCCTTCTCATCCAGGGTGAGCAGCTCTCGGGCAGCTTTGCGGATCTTGGCCAAGGTGAACTTCACCCGCCACACTTCACGCTTGTTACGCAGCCCATATTCACCTAGGAGGGGATATAAAAGTTCAAATGTAACATGCACCTGCCTTTGGAGCATAACTGTTTAATTGTACAACTCTCTTTTTTCCATCCAGGATATACTAACCAATCAGCTTCAGTTCCTGGTCAAGCCGGGACTTCTCAAAGGGCCGCCTTGGGGTGACATATGTCTTCCGACATACCCAACTCCTGGCAACTGGCATGTTGGCCTAAAGGGAGTCCAGTCCTGTGGAGAAAAAATTTGAGAGATCTATAGAAGTGGCAGGCAGATGAAACAAGTGAAGCAAATGAAGTTTTGATATATTTCACAGCTACTTCTCTGTATAATTTATTATTAGTGCCTCGTCATTTCATTTATACATTCATTCAAACCTATGATGTAGGCTAAGCCGGCCAGGAATTTCAGGTCTAAAGCCAGCCTTTCCTATTTTTAAGGTCAATGCTACCCAATGAACTACACCACTCAGACTGAGTTTAGGGTAAATTCAATACAAGTTTTGTTTTCTGGAGTCTAGACTGACCCTTAACTGACACTACTGGACACCAGAGGGTCACAATTGTTCTTTGTAAAGTTGTGTTGAAGCCCTGAAGCTGATATAAATAATGGAAGCTTACCCATTAGAAAGGGGAGAATAGTTTGTTGAAGACATTGCCACTTTGGACCACTTGCTATATCCAAAAGAAAGCAGCTACTTGCAGCCAGTCAGCATTAAACACTGCACCAAATTTCAGTGCAGATACTGAATTACAGCAAGCAACTAAAGTACACTTTTTAACTATTTCAATAAACCAGCAAGGCCCTTTGGCCCCTTTTAAAGTCCTGTTCCCCACAAACTAAGCTAAGCAAGACCTGTAACATATACGGCACAATTTACTGCTACTTCAGTATTTTAATATGGATATAATTTGAGCAGGGGGAAAAGAGTGTGATTCCATATAACAATGGTTAAGCCCAAATGCTCCCAACTGAGCAGGGAGGTATGAGAATTTGTGAAATGCTCGAAGATGTTATGGACCATCAGTAAAATAATCTCAAAGGCACATTCCCTACTCCTCATATTAAGGATGATTTTGCATAAGCAGCATTCACCCACCCAGCCAGCCTCTGGGGAGGAAACATTAACACTGAATCAACTCGCACTGACCAAACTTTTGAAAACGATTCAACCAAAATTATAGAAAAAAGGGAGCACCTAGAAATAGCTGCTATTTTTTCAGCAACACGTGGGGTGACACAAAGTTATAGAATCATAGAATTGCAGAGTTGGAAGGGACCAAGAGGATCATCTAGTAGGAATCTTTCTGCCCAACGTGACACTTGTAAAATTCACAAGACAGGGAAGGCTAATTCCCCTTTTAAAAAAAAATAAATCACGTGAGACCGGCAGTTCGAGGGAGCGTGTTTAACCCCCACTATCCACGAATCCCCTGAATAGGCCGAGCAGCGCCGCGGAAGCAACCACGCGACACGTGTGATCTGCGCACACGGGGCTGCCCTAGTTCTAAAACCCGCGCATGCGCACTGAGCGAGTGAGGCAGGGGCCGCGCGAATAAAGGCTCCAACTCCCTGATTTAAAGTGGATGCGCAACCGCTGAGGCACCAATTTATTCGGAGTCACTTAAAACGTCCTTCTCGGCCACCGGGGCGCTTCGTATTCCCGACACCGCGCCTCGGGTAGCCGTGAAACAAAACCTCCGCTTACCTTCTGACGCGCTTGACGGCCACTACTAAAAGGAAGGGAGCGGCCTATGAAGGTTGCTTATATATGTCGTGCGGTGCTCCGCCTACCGTCTCCGCTAGCCAATAGCAAGGCGACGTCTTTCCTGCCTAACCTATTGGCGGAGGGCTGCTTCGCTGCGCGGTAACCAATTAGCGCTTGCTCCAAGGATGATAGAGAGGAAGACGTAGAGAGTGCGAGGGTGGGGTAGCGCGTTGCATTAACGGTCCAGTGTCTGTGTGGCGAGTGGAGCCGCCATTGCTTTGTGGGGTTGGAGCCCTAACAGAGTTCTTCCCTGGGGGCGGGGAGTTTCTCCCTCGTTGCCCGCCGCCAGCCCTGCCTGCGGTTTGAAGTTGGCTGAAGAGAATAAACAGGCGCCCCTGCTGCTTTCTGAAACCGAGTGTCTCAACAGTTTCCCTATAACACCTCCCCCCCCCCATGCCCTGAACCATAGAGATGCCAAAGAACCCACAATGTGTTTCCGCTTCCTTTTCGTTATAGAGATACACAAAAAAAGTTTAGAGTCGGACATACCTTCGCCGCTGTTTCTCACTTCCGGTCTTTAGACCTGGCGTTCTACTCTGTTTCTATCAAAAGAAACGCGTGACCAGTGACGGCTTTTTCTGTTTGTGTGCGTGTGTAGTATAGGATGCGTGTCAGCTCTTAGTATTTTCTGCCTCCATGCTCTCACCCAGTAGTACCCTAGTATACAGCAACTGGCCATTCAGTACCTTATGAGAGGCAGAGGGGAAAAGATGGTGCTTCAGTCACAGCCGCTCTGGCTATTGGGTGGTGGCAAGGAGCGTGTGTGCGGCAAAAAGTGGCTAATTGGTTTAGTAAATAATAAGGGGCGGGGCAGGGGGACATGGGCAGAGAAAGTGTTGGGAGCTCAGGCAGCTTCAGACATTTTTTTTATAGACAAAAACAGTATTATACATCAGTTTACATAAACTATATTATACATACAATACATACATGACCTACCTACATACCCAGACATTTCTTTTTCCCGATTTGATGGGGGGCAGAGACGGCATGCGCTGTAGAGACCTGTGTGTGTGTGTGTGGAGTGGCCCATCTCTCTTTGCCCACCCAGGTACTCTGCAGAACCTGGCCAGGCCTGGTGAAGCAAGCAGAAAAGTGCTTGGACCCATGCTTTCTTAGGCATGGGACAAGCGGAAGTGTGGAAGAGCCCTAAATGTCTTTGCGGAAAACTATACCAGAGGGTCACTCCACTGGGAAGTGGTTTGACCATAACTAGGTGATAAATCCAGGGTGTGCCTTCGCTTCTGTATTAGACCAGTGACAAGCTGAGACAGCCCCATGGTTGTCATGAAGGCCATGAAGTCCAGTGCTGGGTCTTGGCATGGATGTTGAAGACCTCCAGGAACAAGGCCTTAGGGTTTTTCAGCACCATGCCCAAGACAAGCTCAGGCTTCAGAGCTGTTGGGCAGCAGGGTGCATGGTATACCAGTAAGAGGCCCCTGTATGTCTTCTAGCCTTATGCCAAATGCAGACTCTCATTGCCTGACCAAGGATGGAGGGGTTTCCTGGCTAGTGAAATGGTACTTGTGTGGACTATTTATTTTATTTACATCCCACAACTTCCTCCCATGGTGGCAGCTCCCCAACAATAACCCTGAAGTCTGTCTTGATGCTGCACACCCACACAGGTCTCAGTAATACGTGCTGGCATCGCTTCTCGGCCTTTTGGCTAAGATCAAGTGTAGTATCTGTTCTTATCAGTTTAATATCTGATATGTCCTCTATTTGAGGACTATATATTAAATGGATTTTTGGAATTGGGATTAAAAAAAAAAAGTAATACGTGCTGGCACAACTTCCTTATCCATGATTTAATAGTAGATGGGGGAGATTTCATTTTAATGTGAACTGACCTGGTATTCACCAACAGCACCACCAGGCTAGAGGGCACATGGTCAGTCCACCAAGTGCCTGTGGCATGGGGAGGGAGTTTGAAAATGGGATCAGCAGTAGCTATCTTGGGTCTCACCTCTCCACCATTAATTTAAAATACTTTATTTTACAAAAATTATATATGGCTTGATTGTAGTAAAAACCCCTAAGCGATTTACATCAAATATGAAAATTATCAATAAAAACAGTTAAAACAATTAAAAACTTGTACAAATAATTAAAATTACAATAAAAGAAATTAAAATACATCAATGTCTAAGTGTGTGGCTCTGCTTGCCTATATTTATTTTCCTGTATTCTAATGTCCTTCGGTATTGCTGCTTCTGACAGTGGCAAACAGTAAAACGAACATGTTAGCAAGAAAATAATAAAGCATGTCATGAAAATAATAATATATATAAAAAGCAAGGCAGCAAAAAATATACCGGTAATCACAGTGGTGGAATAAATCCTAAAAATGCCATTGCAATTTTAAACGGCCTCAGAAAATGAAGTGGTCTTCATCCAGCATAAGAGAGATCTAACTTTTCTAGATAGCTTGGGCGCTGTATTTCTAGCATTGCTAACTTTGGAAGACTACTGCAACGAGTTTTGTTTGGGGTTTCCCTTGTATTTCCCAGGAACTTGTGCAGAATGCAGCAGCCTGGCTCCTGATGGGGGTTTCATATCAACAGCACAGAACCCCTCTCCTTAAGGATGTTTAGTGGCTGCCTATATACTACTGGGGCCAAATTAAAAGTCTTACTGCTAGCTAGTTTATAGAGCCCTGAACAGTTTGCTTGAGGGACCGCCTGTCTTCATATCTAACTGTCCACGTTTTATGTTTAGCAGGAGAGGCAGTCTCTGCAAGACAGAGGGCATTTTGTGTGAATGCACCTAGGTAGTGGAACTCCTTCCATCTGTACTTTTCTGCTTACACAGGGGCCTTTTCTGTGCAACCCATCAGTTATTGTATATCACTGTCCAGTTGTTACCCTGAGGGTAGGGGCTGCTTATGCTATGTGCTATGTTCAGCACCTGGTCACTCTGTTTACTATGTGGTATCTAAGCTGGTCAATCCTCCCCACTCACCTCAAGCCTCTTGGTTTGATAAAAAAAAGAGAGAGAGATGGTAAAGTTAAAAAGAGAATTCCCTGAATGCCTAGAGTCAGGTTGGGGGCAAGTACTCTTTGGTGAGAGAGCCCCAGGAGAGATTAAAAATCACAAAACAAGCAGCAAAGTAAAGTGTGGAAATATAGACCGTTTGACCTTTAAAATACCCCAAGTTGTTTCTAAAGTTCCCCACTTCCCTTAGCTTAGAAAGAGGCCACCAGTTTGGTAAGCTATAAATGGTTTACTTGCAAACTCTTCAAAGGTCAGATTCATGTGCTTTTCCATGTAGCAGCAAGAAAATACAGGCAGTACAGTACAACATAGATTCCAAAATGGCAAGTGTTTCTAAATTATTTTTACAGAAACATAAAGATGGCTTTCTTAAGCCACATGGCTTGCAGCAACCAGCTTGGACCTCCTTACTGGTAGGGTTCACATGGTGCAATTGAGAGAACAAAGAGTTTGATAACCCTTCCTCCCAAGGTGAGGTGGAGTGATCCAGCTAAGCCTGGCAGAACAGCTTACTCTATGGTCTTAACCTCTTCATACATTAATCAGAGTTAAGCATCTTGGTTATATGAGGCTGGATATCCCACAAGGCTCTGGTTTCAAGCTGTGGTCTCCTCTCAAACCCATTTCTGTCTTGGGCTAGAATCAGTTTTGAAGAGAGTTGAAAATGGTCTTCCTTGTATGTGATATTTACACTGAAATTAAGATTTCTGTTTGAACAAATGGGAGCTTGCATTTCAAGGCAAATAACAGATGCACCCCCACCCCCCACAGCCGCCACCTGCCACGCCTCTGATTTACTTTCTTTAATGCCTGAAATTGCTAATTGTATGAATGATGGCGTGTCTTGCTTGGCCCTGAACGACACTGAGAATGCCTGTACATAACTATTTCCACATTAACAAATGCAAATACAGCAGAACATATGGAACTCAGGAAGCATGAGACATAAGGCACTAACCGCTTCATATTATTTTTTCTTTAAATGAATGATTAGGAATGCTTCACTAAGTATCAGACCTGGACAAATATATCTTAGGGATAGACACATTTGGATGCCGCTAAGAGGTACGGTAAATACAGTCAAAGAACAATATGGAGCAAGAACCACACATTGGATGACTAGGATTTTAACTTGCTCATTGTAAAGTTTCTTTCTTTCTTTCTTTCTTTCTTTCTTTCTTTCTTTCTTTCTTTCTTTCTTTCTTCTTTCCTCAGTGGGTGGCTGAATTTGCCCAGACAATGAGTTTCTTTCCCCTTTCTCCTGCACTGTTGTGTTCTGGGATGTAGAAAATTGCTCATGGCTCAGGGAGCCTGAAGGCTTGTAAATCACACCCCTTTCATTAGACACTTTCATTTGGTAAGCAATAAAGTGCTGAGGAACAGAAAATGCTAGATAAATGAAGCTGCTAATTTACTGGGTGTCTTTTAAAGCAGGGGGGGGGGAAACAATAAAGTTAGGTTTGGGTAAGCATTTGTTTGTGGCTCAGCCTCCTGTCCTGCTTCTATCCTTAAAGCTCCGCTTTCTCTTCCTCCCTCCCTCCCTCCCTCCAAATGATCCTCTCAGAAGACATGGCTCCAGGCATCTATTTGCCTTCAAGACAAAAGTATCCAGGATCCCTAACATCTTGTCCATTTCTCTCATGTAACTTCATGGCTGAGTGGGGATTTGAACACAGGCCTCTCTGGTCCAAGCCCTAAGAACGTTCGGCATATTACAGGACAAATAACCCGGGTTTACCACTAGGGGCTTAACTTTACATTATGTGCAAATGTGCACCAGAGCTTAAATTCCCTTTTGTTAAAAGAAGAAGAACGGTTTGAGGAGGGTGTAATTGAGAGTCAAGTGGTATCGCGGGACGCAGGTGGCGCTGTGGGTTAAACCACAGAACCTAGGACTTGTCGATCAGAAGGTTGGCGGTTCGAATCCCCGCGCCGGGGTGAGCTCCCATTGCTCGGTCCCTGCTCCTGCCAACCTAGCAGTTTGAAAGCAAGTCAAAGTGCAAGTAGATAAATAGGTACCGCTCCAGCGGGAAGGTAAACGGCGTTTCCGTGCGCTGCTCTGGTTCGCCAGAAGCGGCTTAGTCATGCTGGCCACATGACCTGGAAGCTGTACGCTGGCTCCCTCGGCCAATAAAGCAAGATGAGCGCCGCAATCCCAGAGTCCATCACGACTGGACCTAATGGTCAGGGGTCCCTTTACCTTTACCTTTAAGTGGTATCTAGGGAGAGGGGAGGGGAACATTCCCCTTTCCCCACTCCAGATCTCCTCTCATGTAGCTCTCTCTCTCTCCACCCCCCTTCCTGGATTTCAAGGGCATGTTTGCCTAGTAGTAAAACAAAGGAAAAACATCAGTGAGAACTGTACCTTTTAAACTGGCTTAAGTGTCGTGATTTCCCCCAAGGAGCTCTAGGTTCCATGAAGTGGTTTAGGGATTCCAAAGAGCAATTTCCCATCATGGTCCCAAAGGTACAACCCTCAAGTTCATGGACAGAAGCCAAGGCAGTTAAACGCATCTCATACCAGTTCTAGTATGACATGTAGTCATGGTCTTAGTGAATTTCCATGTGATTTCCATGTGGATTTTCTGTGCAGCGCTGTGACAGTAACATGTGCTGACAAATTATGAAAGTTTTCCCATTGGAAAGTTTGAGAAGGGGCCGTGATGGCATACACACCATACATTTAAAGCACCCCCGAAAGAATCCTGGGAGCTGTAGCTTGTTAAGGGTGCAAGGAATTATAGCCTCTGTGAGGGGTAAGCTAGAGTTCCCAGGATTATTTTGCAGGGCGGAGGTGTTCTTAAAATGTGCTTTAAATATATGGTTTGCATGCAGCACATATTTTAAAGGCCCCATCTGCACTATACCTTTAAAGTGGTTTTCTACTACTTTAAATGGTCATAGGTAAAGGTAAAGGGACCGCTGACCATTAGGTCCAGTCGTGGCCGACTCTGGGGTTGCGGTGCTCATCTCGCTTTATAGTACAGCTTCCGGGTCATGTGGCCAGCATGACTAAGCCGCTTCTGGCGAACCAGAGCAGCGCACGGAAACACTGTTTACTTTCCCGCCAGAGCGGTACCTATTTCTCTACTTGCACTTTGATGTGCTTTCGAACTGCTAGGTTGGCAGGAGCAGGGACCGAGCAACGGGAGCTCACCCCGTCACGGGGATACGAACCACCAACCTTCTGATCGGCAAGTCCTAGGCTCTGTGGTTTAACCCACAGCACCACCCGCGTCCCTTAAATGGTCATAGCTCTTCCCAAAGAACCCTGGGAACCGTAGTTTGCCTGTCACAGAGCTATAATTCCCAGCACCTTTAACAAACTACAGTTTCTAAGATTATTTGGGGAGGTATGCTTTAAATATATAGTGCGCATGGAGCTAGCTGCACCCCCGGAAATCCTGTTTTGAGTAGCCAACCAGTTATTGCCGGAAAGCCCACAAACCAGTAGCATGATGGCAAGGGTCCCTCTCTCGCTGTATGCCTTCAGTACCTGGTAGTCAGAAGGCACAAATTGTGTGTCTTCTTACTCCGTGGTGCATGAGGAATAGCACCAGGTATCTGTGCGCCACCATTTTGTGTGAGTGAAACACTGTGGCAACTGGGGTCTGCATGCATGTGATTATTTGTTTATTTAGTTATACAGTGGCACCTCAGGTTAAGTACTTAATTCGTTCCGGAGGTCCGTTCTTAACCTGAAACTGTTCTTAACCTGAAGCACCACTTAAGCTAATGGGGCCTCCTGCTGCTGCTGCGCTGCCGGAGCCCAATTTCTGTTCTTATCCTGAAACAAAGTTCTTAACCTGAAGCACTATTTCTTTATTAGCGGTGTGTGTA